GCCAGATTTTTGGAGAGGGACTGTTTTTTTACTTGCCATATAGTTTTAAGAGTTGGTAAATCACAAGATTTGCTAAGTAGAATTTGAGAAACTCTTAGAGATGCTCTAAGTGTAAAAAAAAACCTACCCTATATATACATGCGCGTGTAGCTACTCCCTTTCTTAAACGGGTACAACAGCAATCCAATAGCGGCCCCGTTCACGGGTCCTTGAATCCGGCTTGATCCGTTTATTTTTTCATCCGGAACAGTGTTTTTCTCTCACAAATTCCTACAACATTCCTCCAAACCATCCAAATTCCTTTAAAACTCACACAAGCAAACAGGCCCAGCATCCCCTGCGGTGCTCACCAACGAGCCACGGTATTCGCTGTTGCATGCAGGTCCTACGCGTTTGACGGAAACAAGTGCCGGATAATTTGGTGGTCCCCCAGAAAATTAGGACGCTAAGCTATATATATATATATATACACACACAGTAGTATGCGTTTTTAATGAGAGTGTGTCCATATACCAATGTATTTGCATCTGATATTTAGTGCATGAACTGTGGGCATGTACGTGGAACCGTGTATATTGGTATTTAAATTCAGTATAGGACGTACGACTCTCAAAGAAGTATATACTCCTTTTTCATTCGATATTCTCTCGAAGCAGTATATGCGTATACCTACCAAAGGAGTATGGGCACATACATATATAATGAGCATGTTTGTAATGAGTATGAAAACAGTGTTTATATGGAGTATGCCTACATACATATTTATACGGAGTATGAATACATGCACGCTGGCAGAGAACATGGACTACTCCTCTGATGAGTATGCAAAAGAATTATATGTAGGCAAATGGAGATTCTGGCCATTAGCAGCTTGACGCTAGAAGAACGACACTACAAGGCAAATCTTGTGAATCCAAAAAAAAAAACAGATCTTGCTGACGGACCACAGCCACCAGGACCTGCAGGAGAATTTTTATATTTTAATCTCTTTTTAATAAAAAATTTAATAATAATCACCTCAGAAAATATTTTGCATCTCATAGCTCCTTTGGTCACGCCACGCGACCAAATAACATAGTCGCGCCACATGTATTGGCGTGGCAAGAAACGACACCTTCGACGGCGTTTCCGACGTGAAAAAGCTTATCGTGCCACTCCCGCCGGCGTGACAGCACTGTCTTGTCGCGCCACCGGGGATGGCGTGATAAAACTGAACTTTCGAAACATCATAACTCTTCAATATGACGTTGGATGAAGATGATTTTTATATGAAAATTGTAGAGCCTAACAAGATCTACAATTTTTTAGTTTTGAGTTTTTTCGTTTGAGAAAGTTAATATGCTCAAAAAAATTATGTAAAAGTTCAGCACCATAATAATCGCGTACTAACGCTAACCATATTAGAAAAATAATATCTTTATTGTATGGAGTCCAACGATGATACATTTTATACTAAAGTTGTAGCTCTCAACGAATTCTACAAGTTTGTAGTTTTGAGTTTTTACATTTAAGGTTGTTAAGACCATCGAGAAAATAATATAAAGTTTCAGCATCATATTAATCGTGCAACAAGACTTGTTGCCTCACGAATTTTTTTTTTCAAAAGTGTCAAATGAAGATACTTTTAATATCAAAGTTGTAGATCTCGTTGAGAGCTACAAGTTTGGTATAAAATGTATCCTCATTAGACTCCATACAAAAAAGATATTATTTTTATAACATGGGTAACACTGGTACGCGATGATTATGGTGTTAAACTTTTATATAATTTTTTCGAGTATCTTATTGTCCTCAAATGTATAATTTTTTCGAGCATCTTATCATCCTCAAATGAAAAAAAATCTCAAAACTAGAAAGTTCTAGATCTCGTCGAGCTCTACAATTTTTATATAAAAATCATCTTCATCCGACGTCGTATTGAAGAGTTATGATTTTTCGAATGTTCAGTCTTGTCACGCCACCCCTGGTAGCACGACAAGACAGTGCTGCCACGCCAGCGGGAGTGGCACGACAAGCTTTTCTACGTCGAAAACGCCGTCGAACGTACCGTTTCTTGCCGCGCCAACGTATATAGCGTGACTATGTTATTTGGTCACGCCACCGAGACTGGCGCGCCCAAAGGGGCTATGAGATGCAAAATATTTTTCGGAACGGTTATTATTAAAATATTTATTAAAAATAGGTGTCTGCACTGTGTTGGAAGGGGGCCACATGAAACCGTCGCCGGACTAGGGTGGCCGTATCTGCACGGCGCCGTTTGGGGGTCGCCGCATCGGCGCTTCATGGACGCGGGGGGGCCGCAGCGGCGTGTCGACGGCCGCGGGCGGCCGCAGCTCCGCGTCGACGGTACGTGCATTAGGAACTTGGGCTGTCGATATCGATCGGTGTCTGAGTGTCCATCACAATTCACATAAATACATCTGAAACTCCCAACTATATATCGTGAGGCCGGCCGTGTACGTGCATTCAGGCCAAGCAACAAAGATAGACAATATTACTACATAGTAGAGTAATTAGTCACGACTAACCGCAGCAAAAAAAAAAAAAAGGCACAGAATTGAAGTGTAATAATATCCCAAATATAGAGATTGCCATCCAGAGCTCACAGGTATAATAAATAAGTAAGTAAATAAAAGAGGGCACACATATAGGCTCCTCCTCAAGAGATGAAACGAGGAAAATTCATAAAACGAACCCCTCTGTCATGAGTTTCCTGTACAAAAATGAAAAATCCCCTGTAAATTGCTGGCTGCTTGTCGGTCATGGCCGCCAACTTTGGCAGGCTATGAGTCTACGTTTGGGCCGGCAACTAACAATTAATTGACCAACCATTATTTGGGCCTGTGGACCGAGCATGTCTTCCGCCAATCTGTTTATCCGGGCGAGGCAGCGAACCGATGAACAGATGCTGCTGCCCTACGTGACATGAACCGTCAACGCCGCGCGCGACCCCACGAAGCACGAAGGCGACGAGGCTGCGGCTGCGCACGGGTGGAGGTGGAGCTGAGGTCCGATCCATAGTGAGCAAGCGCAGTCGGCAGGCACGCAGCGGCCGAGCAGCGCTGATGTTCTCGTGTTCTGATGATGCGGTCGCTACTAGAAAAACAGACTTTTTATCCCGTCTCTATTTTTGTCTTTAGTCCTGGTATTTTTTAATGTTCGGGAGTAAAGGGACTATTAGTCCCTGCCTCTATTTTTGCCTTTAGTCCTAGTATTTTCTGTGTTCGGGACTAAAGGGACTATTAGTCCTGGTTGTACCCTCAAACAGGGACAAAAAGTTCCTGCTCTAAGTCTGTGACGACGGCAGACAACAATTAGTCCCGGTTATAGCCCAGAGCCCCTCTAACCGGGAATAAATCTTTACGCCCGGTTTAAAGCTCCAGCCAGGACTAAAGGATGACCTTTAGTTCCGGCTCTGGAATATAACCGGGATAAAATCTTTCTTGATAAAATAATATAGTTGGACAAAAAAATGGGACAGCCCTCATAGCCAAGGTCCAAACCGCAACGCACTAGCTAGCTATCTGAACTAAGTCACTTTCTAAAAAAAACACCCAAACATATATTTAATAAGAGAAAAGACCATTTAATTGATTATATTCTTTTGTTAACTATACTTTGAATTTTCTGGTTCATGTGCTTTCCAGTGCTTTATTGGTCTCATGATTTTTCTCAGGGTTTCAAATGCCCAGTGTGAAGCCACCACCAAGTTTGAGATTTTTCTGAATTGGTTTGATAATTTTTTCACTTTAATTGAATTTCCACGCGACTTCACCGATTAATTATACGTCGAACTGAGTCCACCCTCGAAAAAATCCAGAATGGTGCCAAACTTTGACAAATGGTCTCTTATGCCATAGGAGACAAATATTTGTGGAGGTTGATGCAAAATTATATTGTTTTCAATATGTAATTCACCGTATTTCGTCTCACGCGGCACAAAGAAAAATGTAATAATAAAAATAATTATCAGAAAAACCTAAGATCTTGTGTGGGGCCATATTTTGGGTGTAAATGACTGCCAAAAAAATTTCAAGCCATTTCGACATAGGCAGAGTCGACGTGCTTCACAAAGCTATATAGAACCTTTCGTGGAACCCTATCTATACATATAGGTTCTCTGGGATTCTGAGGTCAATGTGCTTTTCAGTGCCGGATTGGGCTGAAACTTTTTCTCAAGACTTCAAATGCCCTATGTGTAGCCACCACCAAGTTTGAGATTTTTTTAAGGTGGTTTGGTACTTTTTTTACTTTAATTGAATTTCCGCGCGAATTCACCGATTAATTATACGTTGAACTGGGTCCACCCCTAAATGATCTGGAATGGTGCCAAACTTTGCCAAATGGTCTCTTGTGCCCTAGGAGACATATATTTGTGGAGGTTCACCGAGGGGGCGTCCGTGGTGGTAGATTATCGGTAGGATACGTGTAATCAGGAACCAGATGGTTAGAGACACAAGACACAAGATTTATACAGGTTCAGACCGTCAGTGTGGCGTAAAACCCTACGTCCTATGCTCTGTTATTTGTATTGATCTAGGGTGAGATCTGTCCTCTAGGGGATTCTTGCCGCTCCTTATATACTCCGAAGAGACAATGTTACAAGTAAAGTATCTAATTTGGTACAATTACAATATAATGTCGTGCTTCGCACGTCTTCACCTTGCGGGCTGGACCACTTCCGGTGGTGCGGCCCATGTATACCCATGAGGGTATATGGGGTCTATTCCCCCACAGTTACCCAATAAGGTTTAAATAAATTTGAGACAATCTCAACGCATATAGGAGAAACAGTGTTGTGTCTGTACCAAACACTTTTATGCCACAGATTTGGTGGGGGGGGGGGGTGTGTGTGTGTGTGTGTGTGGAGTGAAAAGGGTGCTTCAGCAACTAAAGGCATGACTTAACTACCACAGACAATATTTTCTGTATTAGGAGTTTTAAAGATATGAAAAGTAGATAAAACAATTCAAAAGAGACTGCTAGTAGGCCATTAATTGCTATGACAAATCTTCCAGGAGCAGATTGAATGATATATTGCAATATGATGAAATGGAAAAGGTCCCCCAAAAGATATAGAAAATAACCTGCAACTGGATAAGACCGTTGTTGTCATTCAGAACTTGGAGAGCAAGGGTTCCTTGAATATCAAAATTATGAATTCCACCATCCCTTTTAACAGTGGCATTGATCTTTTCTTCAATTGCCACTGTGATAGGATCACTTGGTGGGGCAGATGGCAGCCTTGACTGAATTCCACTTTGCTGAGTGTCCTCAGAAATGAGTTCCCCTTCAGCTTTCAATGATTCAAGGAACTGATTTGTCTTCTGTGCCTTGCCCAATTTCATACCACCAGACACTTTACTAGTAGCAGGAGTAGAAGCAGAAGGATGAGCTTTGGCCTTTTGAGCAAACAACTCCCCAAATATAGGATCACCCCCTAGACCACTCCCTCTGGTGTTCATGTCATTAACAACATTTGTAGTCCTCTGGGGGCCAAATCCGTTTTCAGTCTTGCCTCTACCAATCTTGCTTTTCTCAATCTCAGTAACTCGTTGCCTCATGCGATCCCTAGTTTCATTTATTTTGCTTTGCATGACGAGTTTGAACAGCTTCTCTTCATGGCTCTCCATCTCACAATACTGTTTAACTTGAGCAACAGTAACATTTTCTTTGTTTCCAAGGGAAATGGCTTCATCAAAAGCAGAAGTGAGGTCAAATGCCGCCTGACAGACACCTTCCTCATCCAAAGAGTTTAGAAAGCAGCCTCAGTGTCTCCAGGTCTTCAAGAATGTTACTCTGCTTATTTGTGATGACAAGCAGATATAAGGCTTCAATAGGCTGATAAACATAACGGACATTTTCAGTCTCAACATAAGTGTGTTGCTTTCCAGTTCCCACCAACTTCGGAAATGCTGCAAGTAGTCCCTCAATTCTACTTCGAGACATATCAACAAATTGTCTTGAAACAAGTGCTTTTCCAGACTTTGATACTACAGAGGCTGCAAGAACCACCATTTTCAATAGTTCTGTCACCCAGGAATAACCAAAGCTGAATCCGTGAGCTACTTGAACTGGATCTAGATGCGTTCGGCGCGGCAGTAGCGGACCCGAAGGAGGAGCGCTGGAGAAGAGATTGCCCGCGAAGTTGTCGGGTGGGGTGAAGCTGTCAAGATGAACGAACCGCGCGTCGGGGGTGTCGCAGCTCCCAAGCGGTGGCTCCGGACACGGACGGGGGAGAGGCAGGGACCCCTCAAAACACATCTCGTTACATACAGTAATACAATCAGACGCATGACGTAGGTTTACGCTCTCACAACGGCTGAACCTGGATAAAATCTCGTGTCTGTCTTGCGTCACCATCTCGTTCGTAGTTTACGCACCTGTCTGCCGATAATCTACTACCTTGGGCATAACCCTAGGTAGACTGTTGACTATATTTCGTCGACAGTGGCGCGCCTGATAGGGGGTGTGCGTACTGCTTTTCAAGCGAACAAGATAGTCATCATCCCCGACTCCTTGACCACGGCGGAAGGACTCACATTCACCGTCGGACAGTTCACCTGGACCACCGGGTCCGACAATGTCACCGCCACGCCCACGGAGGAGGCGCAGATCCAATCAGCGTCGACCACTGCTTCACCAACATCGGCCATGGCTCCGACCACACCAGCATCGTCTCTAGCTGCGCCGACAACCCATCGTTCGCTACAAAGGGAGGCAGATCGACAACACCGACCTGCTCGACTCCATCGATCGGGTCGGTACCAAGCTTGTCGAAACCCTAGCTCTGGTAGATTCGATTCAAAATCAACCTACCGAGCAGGTGACCACCAACCACAACAGATCTACCCGACCAGCTCGGGCCAGTCGTCCTGCACGACTCGGTACGGATCTCGTGGTCACGTCAACTCCTGAAGGGCGCTCTGTTCGTCGCCGACCAGCCCCCGCAACGGGTCTCCGGCTCTCCGAGTGCAAAGCCTTGATGGAGAATTACCAGGCCCTACCCTACGGCCTGCGAAACGTTGCTTCCGACTACGCGTACAATATACAACGCAGCCCAGATCTGTGTTTTATACATCGACCTCGACCAAAGCCACATAACTTCGTCAACATGGTGTGGATTGAGGAGTATCAAGAAGGATCGGTCCACACAGTTCAAGAGGGCGGCTCAAGCTCCCTGTCCAGCACCGCGTCTAATGGCTCCATCCACACCGAGCTTCAACATCCTGACAATGAAGAAGTTGAATACAATCTGGATATCCCAGACCACCCCCCGGGGTTCCCACGATTCCCATCCTTCCCGCCAAGGCGAGGAGACATGATCAATGTCGTCAGCAATGACGAACCCCCGGCAGTTAGCGAAATAGATCAAGAAAGGCTAGCGCGCGAAGCACGCAATATTGACCGGTTTAATCATAGACAAGCCGAAGCTGAGGCAGAAGAAGAGGCACGACGCATAAGGCTCCAGCCACGTGATCTCAACAACGCCTTCGATAGGGTAGGGGAAAAGCAGGTCTTCAGGACCCCAAGTGCCAACGTAGCTGTTGCTATGGCGACAATGCAACGACTCCCCAATACCCCGGAAATCCAGGCAATTCGTGATGATATGCAAGCCTATCTGACGGCTGCTATAGCCCAGACTACAGAGATTGCAAACCAAGTTCGGGCTCCATCCGTCTCAGTCGAATCAAGCCACAGTCGCCAGTACTCAAGTCGCCCACAGCCGCTCAACCAACAAGGCTCGCGCAACAACGACCCGCCAGACAACCGTCAAGGCGGAAACGGTGGTCGCGACGGAGGTCGGGACGACAACCGCCGCGACAATCAGGACGACAACCGACGAGACAACCGCGACAATCGCCGTGACAACCGCGGTCGCGGGGTTAACCAGGGGGGCAATCGGGATCGCCGTGACGGTAATAACGATCTCTGCCACTCCCTCCGAGAGCGCGATCTGCGCGATCGCATCAACCAAAGAGCCAACGATCATGCATCCCACGAAAGCTATCGCCGTATGGAATATGATACTACCCACAGCCCTCCAGGCTTGAAGCAGTTCACCCCTCACCTTCATCAAGTCATGTGGCCAAAAAACTTCAAGCTCGAAAAGCTCCAGAAGTACGACGGCAAGGAGAACCCCGAGTTGTGGGTCATGCTCTACAAAACTACGTGCAGATCAGCCATGGCCGACGAGCACGTCATGTCTAATTATTTCCCAGTCGCCGTCAGCCATGCAGGCCACCAATGGCTGGTCAGTTTGCCGGCAAATCACTTTGACTCTTGGCAACAACTCAAGCAAGCATTCATCGACAACTTCATCGCTACTTGTGAACAACCCGGCAACAAATATGATCTACAGCGGATTCGAGACCGCAAAGATGAGCCATTGCGCGAATACGTCCGACGCTTCTCGGAAATGCGCATCAAGGTCCCCTCGATCTCCGACAACGAGGCAATCGAAGCTTTCATCACCGGTCTCCGTTTCCACGACGCCCTTAGGGACAAGCTCCTCCGCAAAAGACCCAAATCAGTCACCGCACTCCTAGCTACTGCTAAAAAGTACGCGGACGCCGATGACGCTAAGAAGATAATCATTGAAGAAGCAGGAAGGGCACCACGCTCTGCATTTCCGAGAAGCATCGGACGTATTCGTGCAATGGCTCATCTTTGCGGTCTCGAATCCGATGCAGATCATATTTGTTGCCGGGTTGTTCACAAGTAGCGATGAAGTTGTCGATGAATGCTTGCTTGAGTTGTTGCCAAGAGTCAAAGTGATTTGTCGGCAAACTGACCAGCCATTGGTGGCCTGCATGGCCGACGACGACTGGGAAGTAATTAGACATGACGTGCTCGTCGGCCATGGCTGATCTGTACGTAGTTTCGTAGAGCATGACCCACAACTCGGGGTTCTCCTTGCCGTCGTACTTCTGGAGCTTTTCAAGCTTGAAGTTTTTTGGCCACACGACTTGACGAAGGTGAGGGGTGAACTGCTTCAAGCCCGGAGGACCGTGGGTAGTATCATATTCCATACGGTGATAGCTTTCATGGGATGCACGATCGTTGGCTCTTTGGTTGATGCGATCGCGCAGATCGTGCTCTCCGAGGGAGTGGCAGAGATCGTTATTGCCGTCACGGCGATCCCGATTGCCCCCTGGTTAACCCCGCGACCGTGGTTGTCTCGTCGGTTGTCGTCCCGATTGTCGCGGCGGTTGTCGTCCCGACCTCCGTCGCGACCACAGTTTCCGCCTTGACGGTTGTCTGGCGGGTCGTTGTTGCGCGAGCCGTGTTGGTTGAGCGGCTGTGGGCAACTTGAGTACTGGCGACTGCGGCTTGATTCGACTGAGACGGATGGAGCCCGAACTTGGTTTGCAATCTCTGCAGTCTGGGCTATAGCAGCCGTCAGATAGGCTTGCATATCATTACGAATTGCCTGAATTTCCGGGGTATTGAGGAGTCGTTGCATTATCGCCATAGCAATAGCTACGTTGGTACTTGGGGTCCTGAAGACCTGCTTTTCCCCTACCCTATCGAAGGCGTTGTTGAGATCGTGTGGCTGGAGCCTTATGCGTCGTGCCTCTTCTTCTGCCTCAGCTTCGGCTTGTCTACGATTAAACCGGTCAATATTGCGTGCTTCGCGCGCTAGCCTTTCTTGATCTATTTCGCCAACTGCCGGGGGTTCGTCAATGCTGACGACATTGATCATGTCTCCTCGCCTTGGCGGAAAGGATGGGAATCGTGGGAACCCCAGGGGGTGGTCTGGGATATCCAGATCGTATTCAACTTCTTCATTGTCAGGATGCTGAAGCTCGGTGTGGATGGAGCCATTGGACGCGGTGCTAGACAGGGAGCTTGAGCCGCCCTCTTGAACTGTGTGGACCGATCCTTCTTGATACTCGTCCATCCGCACCATGTTGACGAAGTTATGTGGCTTTGGCCGAGGTCAATGTATAAAACACAGATCTGGGCTGCGTTGTATATTGTACGCGTAGTCGGAAGCAGCGTTTCGCAGGCCGTAGGGCAGGGCCTGGTAATTCTCCATCAAGGCTTTGCACTCGGAGAGCCGGAGACCCGTTGCGGGGGCTGGTCGGCGACGAACAGAGCGCCCTTCAGGAGTTCACGTGACGCAAGACAGACACGAGGTTTTATCCAGGTTCGGCCGCCGTGAGAGCGTAATACCTACATCTTGTGTCTGATTGTATTACTGTATGTAATAAGATGTGTTGTGTAGGAGTCCCCTGCCCGCCTTATATAGTCCAGAGGGTAGGGTTACAGATCTGGAAACTAATCATAGCCGATTATAATTGCCATAAGTGGCCGGATAAGGATTCCTATTCTAACCGACCAGGATCTTGCTTGATCTCCAAGTCTGCCTTGATTCCTTGCGCAGGACTCTGAACAGATCAGCCGGGCCACGCATCGTCTACTGATGGGCCAGACCCTCTGGTCTGGACTAGCCCAAGCCTGGCCGTAAGGGTATAGGGGTTTATACCCCCACAAGGTTGATGCAAAATTATATTTGTTTTCAATATGTAATTCACCGTATTTCGTCTCACGCGGCACAAAAAAATGTAATAATAAAAATAATTATCAGAAAACCCTAAGATCTTGTGTGGGGCCATATTTTGGGTGT